GGGGACTAGAGAAGGGGCATAGAGGGAGAAAAGGGGGTAAGGGACTGGGAGGAGATGGAGGGGGCTACAGCCGGGATACAAAGTGAATAAATTGAAATAAATAAATAAACAAACAAATAAATAAATAAATAGGGGGAAAACATGATGATCCTCTCTCTGACAGTGCTCTGGAAATTCAGGAAGATCACATGACACTACAGAAAGTGAGTACTTATTTTCGTATCCTTTGTGCTCATCTCCTAACCCATGTCTCCGTGTGCCTTCCACCCCTATTTCCTTAATGTAACTCGCTAAGTTCTTCCAACAGATCCTAGCAAGTCTCGGAAGGCCAACTGAGATTCTTTGACACTCAGGGGAAGCCTATTCAGGTGTCTAGGAAGGCGCCACCATTTCCCAACTGGAACTCACACCACTTTAAGGAGGCTGTGCGTGCTTTCTTCAGGTGTTCTCCTCTGACCAGGAGCAGCACAGTCAGTGCCGGAAAAGCAGCCCAGGAAGCACCAACACCGTGTGGGCAGGGAGGCGTGGCAGGTTCCCAAACAAGCAAATCTCCAGAGCGGTGTCTCATTCTAACTCTATGACTGACCTGTGATTTAACCGAGTTACACAACTTCAGGCCTTATGAGACGAGCATTCCCCTTGCTGATTATGCTCAGGACTTTCCTTAAGATCAAAGGACTGAGGTGCACCCCCACCCCCACCCTGCTGCCACCCTGGGGGATGAACCCAGGGCCTTGTGAGTCCAAGCAACCACTCTTCCGCTCAGCTGAACCCTCAGCCCAATGGGTAAGTGTGTGCTTAATGTGTGCAAGGGGGTGCAGTAGAAAAGCTGCTGCCATGACTACTCCATGATATGGTTAAAGGGCTTATTATAAATGAGAGAGCCTAGAAGAGTCCAGGGCAGCTAAAGAAAAAACATGACCAAGGACATGACCAAGGCTGTGTTTGAGAAAAGGGAGACTAGCCAGAGATAAGGAATAGAAAAGAGCTGGGCTAAAAGCAGCGATTAACTAACAGCTCTTCCAGAAGACCTAGGTTCAATTCCCAGCACCCACATGGCAGCTCACAATTGTTTGTAACTCCAGTTCCAGGGGCTATGACACCCTCACACAGACACACGTGCAGGCAAAAACAAAGCAAAATAACAACAAAATACCAATACACGTGAAATAAAACAATCACTTAAAAAGAAGAAATGTGGATTTACAGACAGGAAAAAGAAAGAAAAAAGAAAAGGAAGGGGGCTGGAGAGATGGTTCTTGGTGGAGGGCACTGACTGCTCTTCCAAAGGACCAGAGTTCAAATCCCAGCACTCACTCACATGGCAGCTGACAACTGTCTGTAACTCCGAGATCTGACACCTTTACACAGACATGCATGCAGGCAAACACCAAGGCACATAAAATGAAAACTTAAAAAAAAAAAAAAAATGCCGAGCATGGTAGCACACACCTTTGATCCCAACACTCAGGAGGTCAGGAGACAGAGGCAGGCAGATCGCTGTGAGTTCGAGGCCAGCCTGGTCTAAAAATCGAGTCCAGGGCAGCCAAGGCTACACAGAGAAACCTTGTCTTGAAAACACAAACAGAAAAGAAAGCAGCAAGGGCTGTAGCAGGTGGGGAGGAGGATGAGGGAGGAGAAGTGGAAAGAATGGAAGGAGTGGATGGAGGGAGGGCAAACTGTGGTGAGGGTGTATTGTGCGGGAGAGGAGGAAATGCAAAAACAAAGGCAGGTATCGCAAGTACTTGTGAGGAGGGACGGGGAAGCTGGAGGCTGGCATGGGCCTTGGCGTGCCGGTGGGCACCACAGCTATGCGCCCACTGCAGGGCCGTATGTCCTTCTGGTAGACTGGAACTGGTTTCACAAGTTCCTGAGGAACACTGCCTTTCTCCAACCAGCAGAAATCCTCCTAGAGCCCAGGCTGCGCTCATTTCCGGATATTTCAACTGCCTTTGGAGCTTGGGGAACTGGCCGCTCCTTTGGACCTACAGCATGGCTGTTGTATCCTTACGTTTGCAATGGGAAGTGCGTTCCTTCCTTCAGTGGCTCTTCTGGGGACACTCAGATGTGGATGCTGCCAGGCACATCCTTGCCTGCCTGGAGTGTTTCTCCTTCGAGGAGGACGTGCTTGGACCACTCTTGCCTTTGGATTAGGTCCTCTAGTGACATCCTTAGCCACTGTCCCACAGCTGTTATTTGGCCCATGGATTGTCATTTGGCCCCAGTCCCTTGGCTCTTAGTATCTCCTTTCTTGGTTATTTATGTTTTTAGTACAAGATGTACATCTGCAGCCAGAGTTTCCTTGAGGGCAGCAGGCATCCTCAGTTTAAGCAGTCTAACTTCTCTCAGTTTCTGACTGACTTGCTCTGCTTGGCATCATACTAACTTTGACACTGGTCAAAGTTCTGTTCTAATTTTTTATCTCCTTCTCTGGCTCATTCTGTCTTCACCTGTGTCTAGCTTGTTCTCTCTCTGTAACCTGTCTCTGTCAGTCTCTCCCAGTAAAACTGCCTCTGAATTCCATGAACTGAACTGCCACTAACTCAGCTGCACCGCCCTGCCTCTCAGTTCACTGACTCAGCCTAACCGCCTGAACAGCACTGACTAGAACTCAGAGATCCTTATGCCTCTGTATCCTGAGTGCTGGGATTAAAGGTGTGTCTGCATTCCAGCCAGATCTCACAGACCTAGAGGGTCTTTGGACGTGATCTCTTGCCAGAGCAGCCATGTTCTGAGTGAGAATTTCCCTCCAGCCCTGCCCACTCTGAGCAGTACATCCCTAGGCAGGTAGCTAGCCTGGAAGCAAGCCATGAAACAGTTTTCCTGCTTGAGTAGCTCCCCCCAGCGATGGACCATGATCCGGATGTATTAGCCTGATAAACCCTTTCTTCCCCCAGTTGCTTTTTGTCGTGGTGTCATCACAGCAACAGAAAATGAGAACGAAAGGTCTCATCAAGGGCAGTTAGCATGGTCCACAGGGTGAGGGCATTTGCCCCTGAGCCTCACAAGCTGAGGTCCATCTCCAGGACCTACACAGTGAAAAGAGAAAACTGACTTCCAAACGGCAGTTGTCCTCTTATCTCTTTGCCCCAAATAAATTAAGTGTAAAAGTAAAAGACAAAGGTTCTATCATAGAAACCACTTGCTTTAGGACCAAATGATTGGTCAAAGAGCTGGGGCTAGGGAGGCGAGGGAGTAAGCGGATATCCATTTTGATATGTTCAAAATAATGAAACAGACATATGTGGGAGGGAGATTGTGTGTTTCCTAGTAGGCCTGGCTTGAAAGAACTGGAGGCTCTTGTGGCTTAAAGAGCTGGGACTCATGATAGCTGCTGGTTCCTGTGAATTCCAGCCTCCGTGGTTAAGGGCACACACCCAAAACACCACAAAGTCTACATTCTGGCTCTCCCCTTCCCAAGCCCTCTTCCCCCTTTACTCGATTCCCACTTCTCATTCGAATAATCAGAATAAAAATACTCCTTCCCCTTCATGAGGTGTGGGGCTCTATTTCAGCTGCATTAATGCTTAGAACAGTACACAGAATAGAGGACGGTTCGAAACCTCCTTGGTTCTCTCCTTTCTTCTTCATCTCTTGGGCAGATGATGCCAACTTGGGAAGGTGAGTTATGGAGCTGATATAGTGACTTGTCCAGAAAGTAGAGGTCCCACTGGGAAGGAGATGTGGGTAAAGCTGGCCCACTTCCCTCAGTAAGTTTGTAAAATGGAGCACAGGACACTTTTAAAAGCCAGCGCGGGGAAACGGAGGCTCTTTGCTGACCTTTTGGAATTGACTGCATCGGGATTCTAGGTCCTACCAGCTCCTCACCAGCTGAGCAAGCATGCAGCAAGCTTTCAGCCCATTTCAAAAGATGGAACCGGGTAAAGAACAAGCCAGTTGTGACTGACTTGCTTAGGGCCTCTCCTTGCCCTGCAGGGCAGGTTCCAGGAACAGTCCCTGCCCCCACGCGGAGCACTTTGCGGAGGGGAAGCACTTCCACGCCGGCAGTATCTGTCTGCTTTACAAAGTGCGCCTACTCGCAGGACCCCTTACGAGGACCCCTGGAGTCAGGTGCTGCCGGCTTAATGGGAGTGGACCTCCTTCCGTGCAGGCCGGTACGCCACCACCCGCGGCCACCCTCACCCCCGCCGGAGGGGAAAGAGGAAGCCTGTTCCGCATGTAGGCACTGATTAAAAGCCAACTTTGTACCCTAATCATCCGGCCAGACCTCACCTTCCCACGCCGCTGATAACGCTCTCCCGGCAGCGTTATCAGCGCTGGCCTGGCCCTCCCAGAGCCCGCTGCGTCGACCCCGGCCGGGCCCCGGACCAGGCGTGCGGGGGACCGGCGGGAGCCGCCGACGTGAGGTGCCCTGTCACCGCCCTCCCGGCGACTTTGGGCAAATCACTTAGCAATCGTGTTCCTCGGAAGGTCCGGTGTGTGTCCCGCGGGGCGCGGCAGCCGCAGGGAAGCGGGCAGCGGGGCCCGAGAGCCGCGTGCGCGCCCGGGAACTTCGGCGGCCGGCGCGGCGCGGGGACCTCCGGCGGGAGCGCGGCGGCGCGCTCCTCCGGGCCGCGGAGCCGCGGGAGCCTCGGCGCCGTCCCGCTCCCGGCCGCGGCAGGCGAGTCCGGGGCAGCGCCGGCGGCGGGGACCCTACGCCCGGGAGCTCCCCGCTCCCCGGTAGGTCACCCGGCCACGCAGGCCGGCCAGGGGCGCCGGGCGGCCGCGCGACCCCTCTCCGCGCGCCGCTTTCACTTTCCCGGGGTGGGGGGAGGCGGGAAAGTTGCGCCGCGTCCCCGTCGCTGCGGGGCGAGGGCGGCGCCATCTGGACCTGGCTGGGGCTGGTCTCCTCCGCGGCGGAGCCCCCGGGTCCACGAGGGGCAGGCGAGCGCCCGGCCGATGCCGTGGCGGAGTCCCGGGACCGCGTGGGAGGGGAGCCGTCCCCGGCTGCGGGACTCACCGGGCGCCCCCCGGGGCGTCTCCGCAGAGTGGCCAGGAGAGCGCGGAGGTCCTGGGAGGGTCACGCTGCGGGTCGCGTGGCGCAGCCCGTGGCCTCCGCGGGGACGAGCGCCCGCGCGCTTGGAGGTCAAGTTTCGTGCTGCAGAGCGGAGCCCGCCAGAAATCGCACCCCCTGCGAGGCTGGCGGAGTATCCCCGCGCGCTGGGAACCTCTGGGGAATCCAGGCCCCAGGGAAGGGACCGCAGAGCCCCCTTTCCGGCGTGGGCGTCAGCAGTGTGGGCGTGGGGTGTGGAAGAGAGCGCCAAGTTTCCAGGTAGGGGCTGGAAATCCTGAGTGATGTTCCTGGTGATGTTACTTCGGGGGCAGGTGCCCCCACACCTTTTTATAACCTTTAAAACTTCCGAGCGAGGGAAGATGAAGGGGGCTGGAATCATATTGAGTCTCCTGTGTGGCTTGAGAGGCGTAGATTGCCTTTAAAAAAAGAAAGCTTATACGCGTAAGACCCTTGTTATTTATTACGCTACGTACAAGCCTAAGTCTAGAAACTAATGGTCTGTTTTGGCAGCCTTCGTTAATAGCGAGTGTCTGGAGGAAGTTAGGTCTTTTAAGAGTGAGTTACTGCGGAGAACTGTCTGTATTTCGCTCAGTGTGTATCTCGGTCTGTGAGGAATGCTGGGTTTGGATGTTTCTGAATTACCTTTTACGGGTCTTACAAGAGAAATGACCAGAGGTGAGTGGCACCGGGAAGACTGGAATCAGAGCTCCCCTGGGAAAGTTGGGTACACTCTGGTCTTTGAGAGGCAAGGCTTAGAGTCATTGGCTAAACACTGCACATGCGCTGTGCAGAGGTGGGCAGGGTATGGGGTAAGTTCCCTCAACCTAGGCTGGCTGGAAATAACTTGCCGAATAAGCTCCTGCCGAAGGGGCTGTGGAGACTGCATTTGTCGCTGCCCTTTCTGCCCTGACCTGAGGAGGCACCAGTGATGGGCATGGCCTGGTTCCTGGGGCTTACCGTTAGCATTCAGCTAAGCCTCAGAGAGTTGTCTTAGTCTTGTGTGGCATGAACACCACCTTGAGACAATAACATTGAGCAATGAGGGGTCAGAAAGTCAGTTGTGATTACCGTGAGGTGGACCCGTGCTGTGGGTCCACCTCAGAGCTACAGAGGGCTGTAGCTCACCTTGTCGAAGTGCAGACCCCTTGCTGGAAAATACAAGGTGGCCTAAAGGTGAGTAGGGGGTGTTTAAAACTGAGGGATTTGGGAAGTAAAGCGATCAGTGGTTAAGAGCAGAGGAGAACAGGAGCTAGGGTAGTCCTACAGAGCCTGAGGGGACAGTGGAAACCAGTGCTACTGAGGAACTGTAGAAGGAGGGGCCAGTGACATTGTGAGGGTGGATCTCCAAAACAGCTTCACACCTGTGAGTATCTAAAAACAAAACTAAGGTGCCGGTGCACATGGCTTTCAGGCCCAGCCCCTTGGGAGGCTGAGGTTGGAGAATCTCCATTGAGCCCAAACAAGCATTCACGGCCTAGAGTGTGCAGGGCTGGGTCCAGGCAGTGATGATTTGGTGGGAGGCCTGGATGCCGGCTTGGCAGCCATGGAGATCATTTTGGGTGGAAGGTTCCCTAAGAACTAGGGAGCACTGGAACAGCAGTTCCAGGAAGCAGGGCAAGTTTGGTTCTGTTGAGTCAGAGCCTGTCTTGAGGCTCCCAAGAAGTGTGTCCCCGGTGGCCAATTGAGCAGTTTGACCGCTTTTCCCAAGCTGGCCCCACCTGGTGTAGGGATGAGGTGTGAAGAGGAGGGAGCAGAGATTAGGAGGTGGGAAAGTGGACCCAGAGGCAGAAGGGCAGGAGCAGTGGTGGCCAGGTCTGTTAGCTGTTAGGGTAAGAGGGAAGCCAGGGGAATGGCTTGTCACAGCTATTTAAACGTGAATAACATGGAGCCAGTGGAAGAAGACATCCGAAAGAGTGGGAATTCCCCCACTGGACTATCAAGTTAAAAGACGTTTCTTGCTGATGGTGATAGTACTTTGATACCAACTCATATAAACAGAGTCTTACAGATACGGTATTTTGAAGTGAGTATGACTGCAGTTTGACTTTTTACTTTGTCAATAACACAAGTTTAATGATGCCAGGAATACAGAGGGTGATCAAAGTATCACAGCTGTACTTTGATTAGGGACAAGGCCCCTGAAGTGACAGCTTGTTTCTTGGCTCTGTAACTTCCATGCTTGCATCTCAGCTCAGGTTTTCTGGCCTTTGTGACTTGTCTTGGTCTCTGAAATGACCCTAGGGGGCCCCCTGTTCTTCCTCATGGACTGTTTGCAAGGATTTTATGTTTCCAGCACATATGTATAGTTTGTGCAGTGTGTGTGTGTATTTGTGTCTGTGTGTGGTGCATGTAGCACACAGTCAGTAAGCTCAATGCTGCTGATTTGAGTATGATGACAATATCATTTCTGTGATGCCATATTTAGCATCTCCAAATACATAACCTGAGAATCTGGAGAATTTTGAGATGGCAGAGGCCATAGAACCAAGCAGCAACAAGTTAAAGTCTGCAACCCTTTGATTTCCAAGCAAGGGCTGCTTCCCTAGCATGTCAGTGTCAGCTGCTGAATGTGGCTGGACACCAATGAAAAAAAAGAGACTCCAAGCCAGACATGCTACACTTATGTGTAATTCCAAGGCTCAGGACGCCGAGACAGGAGGATTCATGACAATTTGGGCTATGTAGTTCCAGAGTAGTCTAGAATACTTGAAGGAAGGAAGGGGATACAGGATCCATTGCTTGCCAGAGTGTGGCAAGGCAAAATAGATAGCATCAGTCTGAGCAGGGCTTACACGCTTAGCCCAAGCTATTTAGTCTGGTATTAATTTGCATTGCTTTGCATGTCATTTGATATGCATTCCCGTATGCTGGTAATTTTCCTAGCAAGGTCTAAAATCTGAAACTTCAAGGATAAGAGAAAAACAAGATTAACCAGGAATTAAATGCAGCTGTGATATCCTAACAGCCAGGAACCGTTGGCTCAGTGTGGATTTCAGGGGGACAGTATTAGGTCTGCATTTACTATTTCAGAAACTGGGGAAGCCAGACATCGTTTAGAAAAAGGAGGGTTCTCCTTAATATGTTACGAAGCCTATCCTACTGACCATGAAATGAGAAAATATTGGAAAAGTGGAGAAGACCAGAGGGGAACTGGATTACATAAAATGCAGAAAGCGCAACAAAAGCAGACCTGCTCTAAGAACTGAACAGGCAAATCCTAAAGTGGCCGGAACAGAAAGGCTGGCCCTCCGCTAAGCAGTCTGAATTTTTAGAAAGTAGATAATCTTAGATACAAATGTGTGAGGATTTTGCTGGGTCTGGTGGCGCATGCCTTTAGTCCCAGCATTCAGGAGGCAGAGGCAGGTAGATCTCTGGGTTTGAGACCAGCCTGGTCTACAGGGTGATTTCCAGGACATTCAGTTTTCAGCTACACAGAAAAACCTTGTCTCAAAAAAAAAAAAAAAGTAGGAGGTCCTAAAAGTAATAAGTTCCTCCAAATTTGGATTTACTGGGAAATAGGCCATTACCTTTCCCAGTAATCTTAGGGTACAGGATGTCAAAAATCAGACACCTGTGTGGTGCATGTTTGCAATCATAGCATATAGGAGTTGAAAGCAGGACCAGATCGAGATAATCCTTAGCTGTATAGTCAGTTCAAGGCCAGCCTGAGCTAGATGAAACTCTGTGTAAGTTAATTCATTAGCTAGATAATTAATTAAAGTGACAAAGCAAATAAACAGCCAAAGAAACAAATGATGGTTTTATTTGGTTCAGTGTTCATGTGTATCCCTGGGCGCCGCCGGCTTCTGTGTCACCTGGGAGCTTAGGAGCACTGCGATGTCTCTGAGACTGCCTGGGTGTGTGAGAAGATCTGGGGTCAAGGGGCAGCCACCAGCTCTCGTTGTTCTCTAGATCCGCAGAGAAGCTTTTGTTCCTCTTGACTGACTTGCTCATTGTTCCCTCACCTTCCAGTTTCCCTCCTGAGGGTTACCATCTTCAGGACAGAGCAGAGCAGGGTGAGCTGTCCCTTCCTGGGGGCTGGGTCTAACCTCATGATGGATGCTTGCTCAGACAGCTTAGGGCTCCGGCCTTCAGCAGCCCTGTGGTCCTCAGCCATCCAGTGGTGGTTTCTGCTGCTACCTTTTTCTTTTTTCTCTTTGGTGACCTCCTTCTGCACAGTGACTCATGCCAAATGCCATCAGCGAAAACGCAGAACTGCCCTCCGTAGATACCCCTGCAGTGAGCACTGGCCCATGGTGGGAGGGCAGGATGTGGGCCCATGCATTGCTCTTATCATTCCAGATTCCAGGGTGACAGAACTGCCTGGCCAGTTGGCTCACTGAGGCCCAGGCCAATGAATTAGTGACATGTGAGTTTCTTTGTTAATGGCCTCTCTCACAGCTAATGAGGCACAAAACTGGGGCCTCTTTTGTAGTCTGCGGAGGCCGCCTGAGAAGAACGAGCATGGCTGGTCCTGGCAGCCGTCCTTCTTTGAGTTCTGCTCTTCTGAAAGGCTTCCTTTTGTATCAGCCCTGCTTATGTAACCCTGGCCCTGGACATGGCCCCTGGTCACGGTGGTCAGCAACTGCCGGTGAGAGTGACCTGCTTCTCTCGATAGTGTTGGTATCATAGCTTGGGGCCTGTGGGGGAGGGGTGGGTGTAGGTG